TCCTTCTGTGTCTGCACTACCTCTAATCTGAACATTCTGTGGTCCCCTTCCATATTGTCAGTATGTATGAAATGGTCCACATAACGAGGAAGAGGTTAGGATGGGATGCCATGAGTGGTCTACTGCAGGCAGTGTCTGGATGGGGAGTTCACTATCCCCAGAGGGGGAAGCAGACACGTGGATCTGATGCCTCCGTCTTGGAGCATACCCCTACTGTCCCCCATGGCTGCTGCTGACTACAGCAGTAAGGGGTGATAGTAAGGGGTGATAGGGGTAGACCAGTGCCACACTATCCCTAGTCGGTCATTTAGAATGGTATGGCTCTAACTTAAAATCATCTTCTCTACACAACAAGATTAGTTGCATTTATTGAGTGTGTAAGCAACCAGACAATTGAAGCAGTTAGAAGTCATTGAACCTCTAAGAACAGATATGATTGTGGTATATGATGACAGTATAAATTAGAGAATGAATCTATGGCAGTAGGTGCATTTCTCAATTATCATCATTTTCTAAAACGAAGTAAAACATAGTTTACAGTGTGAATAAAAAATAAAACAAATGAAAAGCTCGTCTCCCACCACTGGACCAAACCAAGTCATCTTCACAAAAGGGAGCAATGTCAATTACACTGAACAAAAATACAAACGCAACATGTAAAGTGTTGGTCCCATGTTTCATGAACTGAAAAAAAAAAGATCCCAGAAAATTTCCATACACACAAAAAGCTTATTTCTCTCAAACTTCGTGCACAAATTTGTTTACATCCCTGTTTGTGAGCATTTCCCCTTTGCCAAGATAATCCATCCACCTGACACGTTTGGCATATCAAGAAGCTGATTAAACAGCATGATCATTACACAGGTGCACGTTGTGCTGGTGACAATAAAAGGCCACTCTAAAGATCATCAAGGACAACAACCACCCGAGCCACTGCCTGTTCACCCCGCTATCATCCAGAAGGAGAGGTCAGTACAGGTGCATCAAAGCTGGGTCAGAAAGACTGAAAAACAGCTTCTATTTCAAGGCCATCAGACTGTTAAATAGCCTTCACTAGCACAGTAGAGGCTGCTGCCTATATAAATAGATTAGAAATCACTGGCCACTTTAATAAATGGAACACTAGTCACTTTAATAATGTTTACATATCTTGCTTTACTCATCTCATATGTACAGTTGAAGTCTGAAGTTTACATACACTTAGGTTGGAGTCATTAAAACTCGTTTTTCAACCACTACACAAATTTATTGTTAACAAACTATAGTTTTGGCAAGTCGGTTAGGACACTACTGTGCATGACACAAGTAATCTTTCCAACAATTGTTTAAAGACAGATTATTTCACTGTATCACAATTCCAGTGGGTCAGAAGTTTACATACACTAAGTTGACTGTGCCTTTAAACAGCGTGGAAAATTCCAGAAAATTATGTAATGGCTTTAGAAGCTTCTGATAGGCTAATTGACATCATTTGAGTCAATTGGTGGTGTATCTGTGGATGTATTTCAAGGCCTACCTTCAAACTCAGTGCCTCTTTGCTTGACATCATTGGAAAATCAAAAGAAATCAGCCAAGACCTCAGAAAAAAAAGAACACCATCCCAACCGTGAAGCACGGGGGTGGCAGCATCATGCTGTGGGGGTGCTTTGCTCCAGGAGGGACTGGTGCACTTCACAAAATAGATGGCATCATGAGGAAGGAAAATTATGTGGATATATTGAGCAACATCTCAAGACATCAGTCAGGAAGTTAAAGCTTGGTCGCAAATGGGTCTTCCAAATGGACAATGACCGCAAGCATACTTCAAAAGTTGTTGCAAAATGGCTTAAGGACAACAAAGTCAAGTTATTGGAGTGGCCATCACAAAGCCCTGACCTCAATCCTATAGAACATTTGTGGGCAGAACTGAAAAAGCGTGTGCAAGCAAGGAGGCCTACAAACCTGACTCAGTTACACCAGCTCTGTCAGGAGGAATGGCCCAAAATTCTCCCAACTTATTGTGGGAAGCTTGTGGAAGGCTACCCGAAACGTTTGACCCAAGTTAAACAATTGAAAGGCAATGCTACCAAATACTAATTGAGTGTATGTAAACTTCTGACCCACTGGGAATGTGATGAAAGAAATAAAAGCTGAAATAAATCATTCTCTCTTCTATTATTCTGACATTTCACATTGTTAAAATAAAGTGGTGATCCTAACTGACCTAAAACAGGGAATTTTTACTAGGATTAAATGTCAGGAATTGTGAAAAACTGAGTTTAAATGTATTTGGCTAATGTGTGTGTAAACTTCCGACTTCAACTGTATCTTAGTCTATGCCGCTCTGACATTGCTAGTCCATATATTTATTGATATATTCTTAATTCCATTGCTTTACTTAGATATGTGTGTATTGGTTATATGTTGTGAAATTGTTAGACTTGTTAGATATGGCTGTACTGTCAGAGCTAGAAACACAAGCATTTCGCTACACCCGCAATAACATCTGCTAAACACGTGTATGTGACCAATAAAATTGGATTTGATTTGATCAAATGTGCAGTTTTGTCACACAACACAATGCCACAGATGTCTCAAGTTTTGAGGGAGCGTGCAATTGGCATGCTGACTGCAGAAATGTCCACCAGAGCGGTTGCCAGATTATTTATTGTTCATTTCTCTACTATAAGCCGCCTCCAACATCGTTTTAGAGAATTTGGCAGTACGTCCAACCAGCCTCACAACCATAGACCACGTGTATGGCGTCGTGTGGGCGAGCGGTTAGCTGATGTCAACGTTGTGAACAGAGTGCCCCTTGGTGGCAGTGGGGTTATGGTATGGGTAGGCATAAGCTACGGACAACGAACACAATTGCATTTTATCGATGGCAATTTGAATGCACAGAAATACCGTGACGAGATCCTGAGGCCCATTGTGAGGCCCATTTTTTTTAAAGGTACACTATATATACAAAAGCATGTGGACACCCCTTCAAATTAGTGGATTCGGCTATTTCAGCCACACCCGTTGCTGACAGGTGTATAAAATCGCGTACACAGCCATGTAATCTCAATAGACAAACATTGGCAGTAGAATGGCCTTACTGAAGAGCTCAGTGACATTCAACGTGGCACCGTCATAGGATGCCACCTTTCCAACAAGTCAGTTTGTAAACTTTCTGCCCTGCTAGAGCTGGCCCTGTCAACTGTAAGTGCTGTTATTGTGAAGTGGAAACGTCTAGGAGCAACAACAGCTCAGCCGCGAAGTGGTAGGCCACACAACACAAGCTCACAGAACGGGACCACCGAGTGCTGAAGCACAGTTTGTAAAGATCGTCTGTCCTCGGTTGCAATGCTCACTACCGACTTCCAAACTGCCTCTGGAAGCAACATCAGCACAATAATTGTTTGTCAGGAGCTTCATGAAATGGGTTTCCATGGCCGAGCAGCCACACACAAGCCTAAGATCACCATGCGCAATGCCAAGCGTCGGCTGGAGTGGTGTAAAGCTCGCTGCCATTGGACTCTGGAGCAGTGTAGTGATGAATCATGCTTCTCTGGAGTGATGAATCACGCTTCACCATCTGGCAGTCCGATGGATGAATCTGGGTTTGGCGGATGCCAGGAGAACGCTACCTGCCCCAATGCATAGTGCCAACTGTAAAGTTTGGTTGATGAGGAATAATGGTCTGGGGCTGTTTTTCATGGTTCGGGCTAGGCCCCTTAGTTCCAGTGAAGGGAAATCTTAATGCTACAGCATACAATGACATTCTAGATGATTCTGTGCTTCCAACTTTGAGGCAACAGTTTGATGAAGGTCCTTTCCTGTTTCAGCATGACAATGTCCCCATGCACAAAGCGAGGTCCATACAGAAATGGTTTGTCGAGATCGGTGTGGAAGAACTTGACTGGCCTGCACAGAGCCCTGACCTCAAACCCATCGAAAACCTTTGGGATGAATTGGAATTCCAACTGCGAGCCAGGCCTAATTGCCCAACATCAGTGCCCGACCTCACTAATGCTCTTGTGGCTGAATGGAAGCAAGTTCACGCAGCAATGTACCAACATCTAGTAGAAAGCCTTCCCGGAAGAGTAGAGGCTGTTACAGCAGCAAAGGGGGGACCAACTCATATTAATGCCTATGATTTTGGAATGAGATGTTCGACGAGCAGGTGTCCACATGCTTTTGGTCATGTAGTGTATCTTTGACCAACAGATGCATATCTGTATTCCCAGTCCTGTGAAATCCATAGATTAGGGCCTAATGAATTTATTTCAATTGACTGATTTCCTCATATGAACTGTAACTCTGTAAAATCTTAGAAATTGTTGCATGTTGCGTTCATATTTTTTGTTCAGTCTTTTCTAATAAGAAACACATGATTAAGAAAAAAAAAATACATAAAAAGTAACCCTTCATACTTATAACTTAATTCGTGGCTCAATCATAAGTCCAAACCATCACAGTCCTGGTTCATATGTATCGTTAGCCTGTAAAATAAGTATTTACACAGTGCAAAATAAAAACATCTGGCTGAGTCAACACACAGGCCAGCGAGCAATGTCATCATCATCAGTTCATCCCTCCCTGTGGCTCCACTGCTTCCAAAAGGTGCAAATTTTTTCAGGAGAGACAGACTACATCACGAGACCGTTTCAGTGACTGTCTCCTACCACTCCCTTCACACACACTGCAGTCTCTCTCTGTTCATTCATTCCCTTCTTTCTTGCCACTCTTCGTCCTGCTCTCTGTGGGAAAGTCTTTGAAATGGTCCAGAACGTCAAGTGAAGTCTTCATGTTTAGAATAACCTGTTATATTAATCACAGTTGTCTTTCTTCACTTCTTCATAATCAACATCTGACGTTGAATAAAAAAAAAGATTAAAAACAGTTATTGGCATTAGATTTAGGGGACCATGATAAAATATATTCTTAAAAGAAATAATTGTTCAAATGACCTCTTTAAAAGGAAATGTTTTGTCCCAGTTCCTAGAGCTCGGACGTCACAGGTGATGACATCACAGGCCTCCCTTTGGTCCCTGCCCGCTGTGCTCCACAGCAGCTGAGAGAGGTGTCCCCTCTTTCTGGAGGACTTAGAAAAATATGACATCCTCCTTGTTCAGGTCCTCAGTGATCCTGTATGGAGGGGGCTGGCTGTGGCTGAGGCCGTGGACAGGGGCCTGGGCTGAAGAGGGGTTGGGGCTCTGGGTATGGAGGCGGTTAGGAGCCTGGGGCTGGGTGTGGAGGGGATTGGAGGTCTGGCTGGGGGGCTTCAGTAGGCAGACCAGGTGGGTGGAGGAGGGCTGGTTCTCTGGCCCACTGTCTGGATGGATCACTGAATCTGTGGGGAAGAAAGCCAGAGATGGCATTCAGTCAGTTGGTTTAAGATAGGTGTGTATGTGTGCGTGTGTGTGTGTGTGTAGGTGTGCGTGTTCATGCGTGTGTGCGTGTTACCTGTGAAGTGCAGGGACTGGGAGTGGGTTAGGGGGTGCCTCTGGTGAGGACTGATGGAGCACTTGGCTTTCAGAGTGCCGTCCTCTCTGGCTGACAACTTCATAGGCAGCATCTGCTTCATATCCACAGAGGCTGGGAGAGGGAGAGAGACACAGAAAGAGATACAGAGAGAGATAGGAGGGGGGTTGAGAAGAGAAGCGTGTGAGAAAGAGAGAGCGCAACAGAGAGAAGGAAAGATACAAAGGGAGAGAGAGAGAGAAAAGAGAATAAATATCCATTACATTTCCATTACAGTGTGTTATTGGACTGAGCCCAGGAGCCATTCAATTCAGAGCAGGTAATGTGATCATGGTGCATCATTAAGATTAGTCCAGAGTCCTGATAGAGCTAAGCTCTGTCAATCTAACGTGTTCACAAGCCAGTGTATATATCACACTGTTAGACAACAGTACCACTACACAGGGCAGGCAGGGTTCTCTTTGTCCTGTGAGCTTAACCTAAGGAGAATTTGGCTTTTTTTTTTTACAACCAAATCTAAAACATTTATGTAAATAGCATGTTATAGAAGGGCCCAGAAACTATTTTTTTGTGATTCACTTATTTTTGAGAAACTTACCCCAACCACTTACTCATCCTCATTGTGTAGTACGGGGCTCTGAAATAACATGAACAAATGCTCCAAAAACACCATATACAGTGAGGGAAAAAAGTATTTGATCCCCTGCTGATTTTGTACGTTTGCACACTGACAAAGAAATGATCAGTCTATAAATCTAATGGTAGGTTTATTTAAACTGTGAGAGACAGAATAACAACAACAAAAAATCACGAAAAACGCATGTAAAAAATGTTATAAATTGATTTGCATTTTAATGAGGGAAATAAGTATTTGACCCCCTCTCAATCAGAAAGATTTCTGGCTCCCAGGTGTCTTTTATACAGGTAACGAGCTGAGATTAGGAGCACACTCTTAAAGGGAGTTCTCCTAATCTCAGTTTGTTACCTGTATAAAAGACACCTGTCCACAGAAGCAATCAATCAATCAGATTCCAAACTCTCCACCATGGCCAAGACCAAAGAGCTCTCCAAGGATGTCAGGGACAAGATTGTAGACCTACACAAGGCTGGAATGGGCTACAAGACCATCGCCAAGCAGCTTGGTGAGAAGGTGACAACAGTTGGTGCGATTATTCGCAAATGAAAGAAACACAAAAGAACTGTCAATCTCCCTCGGCCTGGGGCTCCATGCAAGATCTCAACTCGTGAAGTTGCAATGATCATGAGAACGGTGAGGAATCAGTCCAGAACTACACGGGAGGATCTTGTCAATGATCTCAAGGTAGCTGGGACCATAGTCACCAAGAAAACAATTGGTAACACACTACGCCGTGAAGGACTGAAATCCTGCAGCACCCGCAAGGTCCCCCTGCTCAAGAAAGCACATATACATGCCCGTCTGAAGTTTGCCATTGAACATCTGAATGATTCAGAGGAGAACTAGGTGAAAGTGTTGTGGTCAGATGAGACCAAAATGGAGCTCTTTGGCATCAACTCAACTCGCCGTGTTTGGAGGGGGTGGAAACATTATGCTTTGGGGGTGTTTTTCTGCTAAGGGGACAGGACAACTTCACTGCATCAAAGGGACGATGGACGGGGCCATGTACCGTCAAATCTTGGGTGAGAACCTCCTTCCCTCAGCCAGGGCATTGAAAATGGGTTGTGGATGGGTATTCCAGCATGACAATGACCCAAAACACACGGCCAAGGCAACAAAGGAGTGGCTCAAGAAGAAGCACATTAAGGTCCTGGAGTGGCCTAGCCAGTCTCCAGACCTTAATCCCATAGAAAATCTGTGGAGGGAGCTGAAGGTTCGAGTTGCCAAACGTCAGCCTCGAAACCTTAATGACTTGGAGAAGATCTGCAAAGAGGAGTGGGACAAAATCCCTCCTGAGATGTGTGCAAACCTGGTGGCAAACTACAAGAAACATCTGACCTCTGTGATTGCCAACAAGGGTTTTGCCACCAAGTACTAAGTCATGTTTTGCAGAGGGGTCAAATACTTATTTCCCTCATTAAAATGCAAATCAATTCATAACATTTTTGACATGCGTTTTTCTGGATTTTGTTGTTGTTATTCTGTCTCTCACTGTTCAAATAAACCTACCATTAAAATTATAGACTGATCATTTCTTTGTCAGTGGGCAAACGTACAAAATCAGCAGGGGATCATACTATTTTCCCTCACTGTACGTCCTTTTAGAAACGGAAAAGCGCTCAGTATAGTGATGCAGGTCTTTAGATGTTTTAGGCATGTAAGTTTGTCATTCCAAACTTTATCCGCAACATAATATATTCTATTTCGTTGTGACTCGAGCGATACCTCTCTGTCCAATCTAGCAGCAGGCTACACTGAGAATTGAACAGCTGGATAGGGGAAACAGCTCGAGTTGCATAAAATGGAATATAACGTTGCGGATAAAGTTCGGAATGACACAATTTCATTTCTACAACATCTAAAGACCTACATTACTATACCGAGAGCGTTTCCGTTTCTTGAAGGACATCTTTTTTTGGAGCATTTGTTCATGTTTTTTCAGTGCCCCCGTACTGCACAACGAGGATGTGAATCGCTGGTTGGGGTAAGTTTCTCAAAAACAAGTGAAACTCCCCAAAAGTGTCTGGACCCTTCTATAATATGCCATTTACATCAAAAATAGAGATTTGGTTGTAAAAAAAAACAAGTCTCCTTTAACCTATAGTGCTGAAAAACAGAGACTGTGCCTACATATTTATAATTTTTACATTTTACATTTTAGTCATTTAGCAGACGCTCTTATCCAGAGCGACTTACAGGAGCAATTAGGGTTAAGTACCTTGCTCAAGGGCACATCGACAGATTTTTCACCTAGTCGGCTTATTAGTGCATGGTGTGCTACTGTTTACGTTCATGTGTATTTCCTGAGCTCAACAAACATCATAAACCAACATTGAAACAATGGCACTACTAGGGAGTGTCCTGCCTACTATAGGGTTCAATACGTAGTAAATGCTACTAATACCTGGTGTGATCGGCCCTTGTGTGTGGTGGTTTCTTGAGTTGAGACTGGTCTTACCTGTGCTGTCTGTACGGTGCGAGGCCTTGCCCTTGCAATTCTTGGAGCTCTTTGAGCTCAGCGCTGCCAGTTTGGTGGGGATCTGCTGCTGGACGCCAAACTGCTTGTGTTGCTGGTTGGTGGTGCTGCACAGGTGGAGCGGCACCTCCTTCTTCACCGGCAACACGGTGGCATTGACGCTCTGACCCCGCGGCGGAACCTCGGGATGCTCCAGGTAGTCTGCGGGCACCCCCGAGAGGCTGGGGCGCACCAGGGCCTTCTGGGGCAGGGGGAGGGTGCGGGAGAGGTCTGAACCGCCAACACCGCGACCGCCCATGCCCAGCAGGAGGTCCCCATTTAGACTGCCGGATAGTGGCACCACCTGGGAGAGGGAGTGGGAAAGGGAGAGGATTTGGGCAGAAGATGAATAACATACAGAGGAAGATGAGAAGCCATTTTGAGTCACATGTCCAAGGGGTTTCAAATGCTTTCAACTCAGGGTATCGATATTTGAGTTTGGCACCAAAAGTTGTAGGACAATTACATTGCCTTAGATTGAGGTTTCAAACGAGAAAACTGTTGTCATGGAACTTGTGTTAAAAGCGTAATATAATTGTTTGCTGATTTCTGTATACAGTATTTATGGCTCTGACCAAAATGGGTTTGTGATGTAAATTAGATCCCTCTTGCTTTTGTATTTTATGTGTGTGCATGTGCAGGGAAAGAGAGAGAGCACTGCTGGATGTGTTTAAATGACTAGCGAGGTCTCTTTGAACCCAGGACAATGCTGCTCACACAACGATAGGAGAAACATTCAACCTCTTTTACAACACAATCCCTCTGCAAATACAGTGCCTTGCAAAAGTATTCATCCCCCTTGGCTTTTTTCCTATTTTGTTGCATTACAACCTGTAATTTAAATGGATTTTTATTTGGATTTCATGTAATGGACATACACAAAATAGTCAAAATTGGTGAAGTGAAGTGAAATGAAAAAAATAACTTGTTTCAAAGAATTCAAAAAAATAACGGAAAAGTGGTGCGTGCATATGTATTCACCCCCTTTACTATGAAGCTCCTAAATAAGATCTGGTGCAACAAATTACCTTCAGAAGTCACATAATTAGTTAAATAAAGTTCACCTGTATGCAATCTAAGTGTCACATGATCTCAGTATATACAGTGAAGGAAAAAAGTGTTTGATCCCCTGCTGATTTTGTACATTTGCCCAATGACAAAGACATGATCAGTCTATAATTTTAATGGTAGGTTTATTTGAACAGTGTTGTGAGAGACAGAATAAGTATTTGACCCCCTCTCAATCAGAAAAATTTCTGGCTCCCAGGTGTCTTTTATACAGGTAACGAGCTGAGATTAGGAGCACACTCTTAAAGGGAGTGCTCCTAATCTCAGCTTGTTACCTGTATAAACGACACCTGTCCACAGAAGCAATCAATCAATCAGATTCCAAACTCTCCACCATGGCCAAGACCAAAGAGCTGTCCAAGGATGTCAGGGACAAGATTGTAGACCTACACAAGGCTGGAATGGGCTACAAGACCATCGCCAAGCAGCTTGGTGAGAAGGTGACAACAGTTGGTGCGATTCTTCGCAAATGGAAGAAACACAAAATAACTGTCAATCTCCCTCGGCCTGGGGCTCCATGCAAGATCTCACCTCGTGGAGTTGCAATGATCATGAGAACGGTGAGGAATCAGCCCAGAACTACACGGGAGGATCTTGTCAATGATCTCAAGGCAGCTGGGACCATAGTCACCAAGAAAACAATTGGGAAAACAATTGGTAACACACTACGTCGTGAAGGACTGAAATCCTGCAGCGCCCGCAAAGTCCCCCTGCTCAAGAAAGCACATATACAGGCCCGTCTGAAGTTTGCCAATGAACATCTGAATGATTCAGAGGAGAACTGGGTGAAAGTGTTGTGGTCAGATGAGACCAAAATCGAGCTCTTTGGCATCAACTCAACTCGCCGTATTTGGAGGAGGAGGAATGCTGCCTATGACCCCAAGAACACCATCCCTACCGTCAAACATGGCGGTGGAAACATTATGCTTTGGGGGTGTTTTTCTGCTAAGGGGACAGGACAACTTCACCGCATCAAAAGGGACGATGGACGGGGCCATGTACCGTCAAATCTTGGGTGAGAACCTCCTTCCCTCAGCCAGGGCATTGAAAATGGGTCGTGGATGGGTATTCCAGCATGACAATGACCCAAAACACACGGCCAAGGCAACAAAGGAGTGGCTCAAGAAGAAGCACATTAAGGTCCTGGAGTGGCCTAGCCAGTCTCCAGACCTTAATCCCATAGAAAATCTGTTGAGGGAGCTTAAGGTTCGAGTTGCCAAACGTCAGCCTCGAAACCTTAATGACTTGGAGAAGATCTGCAAAGAGGAGTGGGACAAAATCTCTCCTGAGATGTGTGCAAACCTGGTGGCAAACTACAAGAAACGTCTGACCTCTGTGATTGCCAACAAGGGTTTTGCCACCAAGTACTAAGTCATGTTTTGCAGAGGGGTCAAATACTTATTACCCTCAATAAAATGCAAATCAATTTATAACATTTTTGACATGCGTTTTTAGTTATTTTTTTTTTGTTATTCTGTCTCTCACTGTTCAAATAAACCTACCATTAAAATTATAGACTGATCAAGTCTTTGTCAGTGGGCAAACGTACAAAATCAGCATGGATCAAATACTTTTTTCCCTCACTGTTGGGTGTGTGTGTGCGTGAGTGTATGTGTAACATCGTCACCCACCTCGATTGTCTTCCTCTTGATCTTCCTCTGCTGCTCCAGGCGTTCCTTCTCCTTCTCCACGGTGCGGGTTGACTCCCTCAGTCTCTCCAGATCCTGTTGGTACATCTCCCTTTGTCTCTCCAGCTCCTCCCTCTCCTCCGCCAGCTTCTCCTCCTGCCTCCTGCACTCCTCCTCCCTCTGCCTCAGCTTGCCCTCCGCGGCCTCTGCCTGCTGCCGGTGGCGCTCCCGCTCCCTCTCCCAGCGAGCCTGGGAAGAAACACAAGGTTCAATTTGACTAAATGCAGACTGGCATAATACTGCATTAAGTAAAAGTCATAGGGCGAGTTTGAGGTCGTCTCGTTTTGCAGGAGTTATCATGATCATATTAATGTGGTTCCCTTTTACTAGTATTATCAGATTTAATTATCTACATAGTGTAATTGTAATGAAGACAACCTGTAAGGCGACCATAAATCTAATTAAGGATGCCATTTCGACTGTGTCTCACCTGCTCCTGTCGGTGCTGTGACTGCAGCTTGTGGAAGCTGGCCAGCTCCTCCCTCTGCAGGGCCAGCGTCCTCTGTTTCTCCTGCTCCAGGAGCACGTTGCCACGGTGACGGCCGGGGAAGGAGGCACGCTCTTTGAGGGAGGCGCGCTGTAGCTCGATGTGGCTGTCTTGCTGGCAGATGATGGCCTAAAGGGGAGGGGAGGGGAGACCGGTGGAAAGGAGGAGATACGTGGGTCAACTTCTGGAAAGCATGAGGCTTGTGGTCACAGACCATAACCAATCAAAAGGCTAGTCTAGCAGTCTCCATGTGATGTCATTTTAACATTTCTGTTGACATGCAGACAGACGGGTTTTGGCATCTCGCCCTGGTAAGTGTGGAAGGCTGCAGTCCGATTGATTGTTCACGGCCCAGTCACACACAGGACTGGAGGAGAGCCACATGCTAGCATGTCATGTGCTAGCATGCCTACTGGTGGTTAAGAGCATTGTGCCCTTGAGCAAGGCACTTAACCCTAATTGCTCATGTAAGTCGCTCTGGATAAGAGCGTCTGCTAAATGACTAAAATGTAAATGAGTATGAGCATGTAAGTGGATGTGGAGAGGTTGTTATTGAGGGAAATGTGAGTGAGAAGTTTTGTTTTGTTTACCTGCAAGCTGTAGAGTCTCTGAGACAGCATCAGCACCAGGTCAAAGAACTAGGGAGACCGAGACAGGAACGGAAAGAGAAGATCAAAATACAACTCTAGGTTTGGACACTATGGGACAGTACACCTTTGAGAGGCCATGATAAAACATGAGGATTGAAGAAGAGCGAGGTTCAAATACCATATGAACACGGAACATCTCCTACCTCAGCTTCTGGAAAGGTGTTGGACCAGATGGGGTTCCAGATGGCTGGAGAGGCCTCATCATTATCAGCAGCCTGTACAACAGACACAACATTACACATTTTATGACGTTTCCCCTCAGGGATGAATAAAGTATCTATTGATCTACACTGAACAAAAATATAAACGCAACAGAGTTACAGTTCATAAGGAAATCAGTCAATTGTTATGAAGTCATTGGGCCCTAATCTATGGATTTCACATGACTGGGAATACAGATATGCACCGGTTGGTCACACAAATGCTGTGACCACCATTTGCCTCATGCAGCTCGACACATCTCCTTTGCATAGAGTTGGATCAGGCTGTTGATTGTCACCTGTGGAATGTTGTCCCACTCCTCTTCAATGGCTGTGCGAAGTTGCTGGATATTGAACACGCTGTCGTACACGTCGATCCAGAGCATCCCAAATATGCTCAACGGGTGACATACACATACAAAAGTATGTGGACACATCTTCAAATGAGTGGAGTCGGCTATTTCAGCCACACCCGTTGCTGACAGGTGTATGAAATCGAGCACACAGCCATGCAATCTCCATAGACAAACATTGGCAGTACAATGGTCTTACTAAAAAGAGCTTTGAGTTTCAATGTTGTGCCGTCATAAGATGCCACCTTTGCAACAAGTCAGTTCGTCAAATTTCTGCCCTGCTAGAGCTGCCCCGGTCAACTGTAAGTGCTGTTATTGTGAAGTGGAAACGTCTAGGAGCAACAACGGCTCAGCCGCGAAGCTGTAGGCCACACAAGCTCACAGAACAGGACCACCGAGTTCTGAAGCGCGTAAAAATCATCTGTCCTCAGTTTCAACACTCACTAATGAGTTCCAAACTGCCTCTGGAAACAACGTCAGCACAATAACTGTTCGTCGGGAGCTTCATGAAATGGATTTCCATGGTCGAGCAGCCACACACAAGCCTATGATCACCATGCGCAATGTAAAGCTCGCCGCCATTGGACTCTGGAGCAGTGGAAACGCGCTCTCTGGAGTGATTAATCACTCTTCACCACCTGGCAGTCCAACGGACTAATCTGGGTTTGGCGGATGCCAGGAGAACGCTACCTGCCCGAATGCATAAAGTTTGTGGAGTAAAGATTTTAAAGTTTGGTGGAGGAGGAATAATGGTCTGGGGCTGTTTTTCATAGTTTGGGCTAGGCCCCTTAGCTCCAGTGAAGGGAAATCGTAACACTACAGATTACAATGACATTCTAGACAATTCTGTGCTTCCAACTTCAGCATGACAATGCCTCCGTGCACAAAGCGAGGTCCATACAGAAATGGTTTGTCGATATCGGTATGGAAGATCTTGACTGGCCTGCACAGAGCCCTGACCTCAACCCCATCAAACACCTTTGGGATGAAATGGAACGCCTAATTGCCTTACATCAGTGCCTGACCTCACTAATGCTCTTATGGCTGAATGGAAGCAAGTCCCCGCAGCAATGTTCCAACATCTAGTGGAAAGCCTTCCCAGAAGAGTGGAGGCTGTTATAGCAGCAAAGGGGGACCAACTCCATATTAATGCCCATGATTTTGGAATGAGATGTTCGACGAGCAGGTGTCCACAAACTTTTGGTAATGTAGTGTATCTGTTGAGTATGCAGGTCATGGAAGAACTGGGAAATGTTTAGCTTCCAGGAATTGTGTACAGATCCTTGCGACATGGGGCCATGCATTATCATGCTGAAACATGAGGTGATGGCAGCGGATGAATGGCACGACAACGGGCCTCAGGATCTCGTCACGGTATCGCTGTGCATTCAAATTGCCATCGATAAAATGCAATTGTTTTTGTTCTCCATAGCTTATGCCTGCCCATACCATAACCCCACCATGACATCAGCAAACCACTCGCCCACACGACGCCATACATGCTGTCTGCCATCTGCCCGGTACAGTTTAAACCGGGATTAATCCGTTAAGAGCACACTTCTCCAGTGTGCCAGTGGCCATCGACGCCGAATTGCAGACAGTTCAAGACCCTGGTGAGGATGAGGAGACATAAATCATACCGGGAACAGTAGCATTTCCCCAAAATAGGTAAATTACTAAGTAATGACGGAGTAAAGTAGCTTTTGTTCTGTATACTGGGTCATCTAATCTATTTATTTTGTATTTATTGAAATACTGGTACATTTCTGAACGACCTGTGGCGCAGTGGTCTAAGGCACTGCATTGCAGTGCTAGCTGTGCCACTAGAGATCCTGGTTCGAATCCAGGCTCTGTCGTAGCCGGCCGCGACCGGGAGACCCATGGGGCGGCGCGCAATTGGCCCAGCGTCGTCCAGGGTAGGGGAGGGAATGGCCGGCAGGGATGTAGCTCAGTTGGTAGAGCATGGCGTTTGCAACGCCAGGGTTGTGGGTTCGATTCCCACAGGGGGTATGAAAAAATAAAAAATAATGTATGCACTAACTGTAAGTCGCTCTGGATAAGAGCGTCTGCTAAATGACTAAAATGTACATGTAAAAAAATGCTCTTATCACTGTTTACTCAACACTAGCTACACTGCTGGCTCTGTTGTGGGGACAGGGAGTGTGTTGCCCTGGTCACCCTGGAACTTAAGTTGTGACACAGTCTGTCCTTTTAAGACATTTTCTCATCCATGTTTGCTGTGGTTGTTAGCGCGAGTGAGTGTGTGTTTGACCCACCGGTGGCTGCTCCAGGGCCTGGCTGGTCTGAATCTCCTTGAGCTGGGGGTCAGAGCGGGCTCTCTGGCTCCTGTCTCTGTCCCCTCCACTGTAGTTCTTCTTCTTCACACTGCCTTCTAACACCACACACACACACACACACACACACGTTTGAATACTATGAAATAGTCATTTTGGATCTTATGAGAGTGGTACACAGACACTATGGGAATTAGGGCCGGGATGATACCAGTATCGCAATACTCGTTAGAATCGTGGCAAGGAAACAAAACACAAAGCGGATTTAACTTCTTTAGGAAAACAGCCCTAATGTCTGCTTCGTGTTTTCATTTTTGCCCTGGAAAAAATATTGCAATACTGGTATTGCATCAGCCCTAATGGGAATACAATGGTGATACAGCACATGCAGAGCAGGGCAGGCAGGTGGAGTGGACTTACTCTTGTTGAGGATGGTGGGGCTGCTGTCGTAGCCCCCGAAGGTGCCTGCTCTCCTGGGCATAGCCCCGGAGCCTAAACCCTCCTCTGGACGTGGAGCTAGCTCTCTCACACCAGACAGCAACATGTTCTGAAGGTTCTCCACTGGAGAGAGCGAGAGTCCGAGCGAGAGAGACGGAGGTAGGTAGTAAGAAAGATGAACAATAATGTTTTAAGAAAGAACAAGAGTAGTGAGGACGGAGCTAACCCTCCTATTGTTACAGTTGGGTGCAGTGGCGACCTGTCATTTTTTTGGGAGGATGCCTGTTTTGGCATTAATACGTGTCACATATCAGTTTGCAAACAATGTAAAATAAATAAATAATAATAAGAGTTGATAAAGCCGCATACAAACTTGGTATCTTTTTTTCTTCCTTTGAGTAAGGCAGCTCCAAAATGCAGGCGTTTCAGCCTAGCTCAGTGCTTTCTGCAGTGGTGGGGCAGCCAGCAGAAAATACGGAGCATAGGGGTTGGTAATGTTCTCTATTTGCGCCGTGATTGGCTCATTGTTCTGTCACTCATGGGGACACTACGTCACCGCCAAATCTAAGGGTACTTGGGTGCTGACTTAAGAGTTACATTGGAGGTGCCCATCCAAGAAGGCTCAAGGTCATTGGCCACAGATAAAATTATGTCAAATCACGTTATATCTACAGCAGCTTTGATTCGACTGATCATGTCAACATCATACCTTCAAAATCTTGGCTAGCAAGCTAGCAGTCATCATCATGAATCAAGTCGACAATCTACTGGCAAATCCTTTTTAATCCTTGTCATATGAAGAGGAATAATGAAGATAATTTATAGATAAAACGTATCGGTGCTCATCGGCCATTGGACATAAACATTACACAACAAGTTGGAAATAACAAATTCAACAATAAGTGGTTTGGAAGGAATCAGTGGCTAACTACAAGCATTGCAAAGCTCACTAGCCTGCTATTCAGTGAAGTGGGTGTGTGGTCCCAAGTCTGGGTTTAAGGGTCTCTTTTCCATGCTTAAAAGGATAAACATTCAACATTGGCCATGGTATCAATCCAGCATGACTTCTGCCACGCTCAAAACAACTGGTAACTCAGAACTGGGAAATCTGATTTTAGTGAGTTCAAGACAACTGGGAACTCGGGAAAAAACTAGCTCCGACTGGGAAAAACGTTTTGAATGGTCATCCAACTCGGAATTGCAGGTCGGGGACTCGGGCCTCTTTCTAGAGCTCCGACTTGAAGATCACTGACGTCATCATGATTCGACCTTGTTTTTTTCCGAATTCCCAGTTGTCTTTAAAGCACAATAAATCCAGAGAAAGCCAGACTTTGATGACAAAGTTTGAAGACTAAATTTGCCCACAAAGGACCGCTGCGCCACCTTCCTGTTCAAGTGTAGCTCAGTTGGTAGAGCATGGCGTTTGCAACGCCAGGGTTGTGGGTTCGATTCCCACGGGGGGCCAGTATGACAATGTATGCACTCACTAACTGTAAGTCGCTCTGGATAAGAGCGTCTGCTAAAATGACAAAAAAAAAAAAGTGAGCACAGCACAACAAGGTGAGTCCAAAAATGTATTGTATGCTGCTGCATAAATGATGTAATATGCCAGGGAGATATGTATACTGTAGCTAAGAAAGTAATACTAAGTGTATGTTGTGTAGTAAGCTGTTCGTAGCCCATGTGCCTCACCCTAATAATTTGGTCCCGTTTCCCCTCCTAATTTTGCCTACTGTTCTGACTCGGTGGTGCACATGTAGCCTATAGCCTGTTTTAGAGAAATGTAATCATCGAATATTGTAAGAGCTTTCATTGTCTCCTTATATGCCCCCTTTATTTATCCTACGGTTCTGACTTGATCTACAGGGAGAATACTTTAAGAACGGCCCATGTTCTGAATTCTGTCGCTGTACATTTCAAAAGTGCTGAACAAATAGTTATATTGACTACGTCCATCCTAGCTCGCTCATTAATGTCTTAATCGAAATTATCCGCTCGTCATCCCCTTATGCCATAGTTTGTACATATCAATTGTTAGTAGAAACCACATTTGTTTAAGCAAGTCAGCCATATCAGCTGTTTTTTTTAAAGGCAGTAAATGTTTCGCTGCCAGACAAGGCTCCGCTGATTGCCAGGTGTAGCAATGGTAAGGTGTTGGGACTGCTGTTGGGACTCTGCTGTTGGGACAGCTTTATGTAGGCCCTAACAGTGTGTGGGCACCGTTTGTCACCGTTATAGTGCAATTCATGTATTGTTTAGAGTTGTGATGTGCTGTGGGTTTGCTGGCATGCATAAAAAAAAAAAAAAATGTGTTTGCCCCACCAAGATTTACATGCTAAAATCACCACTGGTTGGGTATCTGTATGTAACACACCTAACTAAACTAATCAAAATCTGAATTATTTGTGAATTACATGAATCATATGTTGTCTTGAGTTGGATCAAAAACCTATACAGTATAACAAAAGCCAGTGTATTGTACTCTGTACTGCACTGTGTTGTGTGTGTTGTACCTTCAGTGATGGCTCCCTTGAGCAGCGTCTCCCCCTGGTGGAGGTCTGAGGCATCACCACGCAGCAGCAGACAGGAGCGCGAGGCCATATCCTCAAGACCAGCCACAGACTCTGCCATGTCTGCAAACAGCTGCAGCTTCTCTGTCAGACCTGCCACGATCTGGCCATCCTTCTGGCTCAGACGCTCTGGGAGAGGAGAGAGGGACAGAGGAAGAGAGTTCTCAATGATTCAATTCTCCTAAATAAATGGAATACAAGGAAGAGAAACATTGAGCAAATGTGAATGTTGTTGACTGGTGCATGAGCAAACCCTAATGGCCTTGCATCGACATTACACTATTTTACAAATATAGGTGGTCTGTCTGTCATTAGTTACCTTGGAACTCTTTGAATCTGGCGGCTCGAGCCTCCTCCTCCTCACTGAAGAGCCTCTCTGTTTGTGGACAACTGAGAGAGAGAGAGAGAGAGAGAGAGAGAGAGAGAGAGAGAGAGAGAGAGAGAGAGAGAGAGAGAGAGAGAGAGAGAGAGAGAGAGAGAGAGAGAGAGAGAGAGAGAGAGAGAGAGAGAGAGAGAGAGAGAGCAAGAGGGAGCGAGAGAGGAAAAGAAAGAGCGAGCAAGAGAGTGAGAGCAAGAGAGAATGAAAAAGAGAGCAAGACACAGACATACACTGAGAGTACAAAACATTAGGAACACCTTCCTAATATTGAGTCCCCTTTTGCCCACAGAACCGCCTCAATTCGTTGAGGCACGGACTCTACAAGGTGTTGAAAGCATTCCACAGGGATGACGGCCCATGGTGACTCCAATGTTTCCCACAGTTGTGTCAAGTTGGCTGGATGTCCTTTGGGTGGTGGACCATTCTTGATACACACCGGAAACTGTTGAGTGTGAAAAACCCAGCAGCGTTGCAGTTCTTGACACTACCATACAACATTCAAAGGCATTTAAATATTTTGTCTTGCCCATTCACCCTCTGAATGGCACACATACACAATCCATGCCTCAATTGTCTCAAGGTTTAAAAATCCTTCTTTAACCGGTCTCATCCCCTTCATCTACACTGATTGAACTGGAATTTAACAAGTGACATCAATTGGGGATTATAGTTTTCACCTGGATTCACCTGGTCATTCTGTCATGTTCTGTATGCTCAGTGTATGTCATGGAAAGAGCAGGTGTTCCTAATGTTTTGTACACTCAGTGTACATACAAAGATGAGTTAGTTATGACTAAGCCTTGGCTTAAGTATAAAGCAGGGTTTCTCAATTCCAGTTCTGGGCACTAACTGTGAATCCAGGTTCTCTTTTGAACCAATTAGTCCCATTGAGAAGAAGTATTATGCTGCATTCGTAACCAAGTGATAATTTACAACATATGACTGGGAAACATCCACTTGAACAACCATCAAACTGGTAATTACAAGTGTGAAATCCGTCTATCATCCTGAGCACCCACTTCTCCCACATGCTGACCTCTGACAACAGCATTTTCGGCAGTTAAATGCAACAACAAAACATGAAATGTGAATAAAATGTAATAATGTGTGTGTGAGTTTTGTAATGAGCTGGAGATAAATGCAGCATACGCAGTGGGTCCCCAGGGTCAGTGTTGAAAAACACCTACAGTACCAGTCAAAAGTCTGGACACATTTTATTTTTTACTATTTTCTACATTGTACAATACTAGTGAAGACATTAAAACTATGAAATAACACATGGAATCATGTAGTAACCATAAAAGTGTCAAAATATATTTTATATTTGAGATTCTTCAAAGTTGCCACCCTTTGACTTGATGACAGCTTTGCACACTCTTGGCATTCTCTCAACCAGCTGCATTTGAGCCAATCAGTTGTGTTGTGACAAGGTAGGGGTGGTATACAGAATATAGCCCTGTTTGGTAAAATATTATGGCAAGAACAGCTGAAATAAGCAAAGAGAAACGACAGTCCATCAGTCGCAAAAACCATCAAGCGCTATGATAAAACTGGCTCTCATGAGGACCGCCACAGGAAAGGATGACCCAAAGTTACCTCTGCGGCAGAGGATAAGTTCATTAGAGTTAACGGCACCTCAGATTGCAGCCCAAATAAATGCTTCACAGAGTTCAAGTAACAGACACATCAATATCAACTGTTCAGAGGAGACTGCTTGAATCAGGCCTTCATGGTCGAATTGCTGCAAAGAAACCACTACTAAAGGACACCAATAAGAAGAAGAGACTTGCTTGGGCCAAGAAACACGAGCAATGGAGATTAGACCGGTGGAAATCTGTCCTTTGGTCTGATGAGTCCAAATTTGAGATTTTGGGTTACAACCACCGTGTCTTTGTGAGACGCAGAGCAGGTGAACGGATTACCTCCGCATGTGTGGTTCCCACCGTGAAGCATGGAGGAGTAGGTGTGATGGTGCTTTGCTGGTGACACTGTCTGTGATTTATTTAGAATTCAAGGCACACTTAACCAGCATGGCTACCACAGTAATTATGCAGCGATACGCCATCCCATCTGGTTTGCTCTTAGTGGGACTATCATTTGTTTTTCAACAGGACAATGACCCAAAACACCTCCAGGCTGTGTAAGGGCTATTTGACCAAGAAGGAGAGTGATGGAGTGCTGCATCAGATGACCTGGCCTCCACAATCACCCAACCTCAACCCAATTGAGATGGTTTGGGATGAGTTGGACTGCAGAGTGAAGGAAAAGCAGCCAACAAGTGCTCAGCATATGTGGGACCTCCTTTAAGACTGTTGGAATAGCATTCCTCATGAAGCTGGTTGAGAGAATGCCAAGAGTGTGCAAAGCTGTCATCAAGGCAAAGGATGGCTACTTTGAAGAATCTAAAATATAAATATTTTGATTTGTTTATCACTTTTTTGGTTACTACATGATTCCATATGTGTTATTTCATAGTTTTGATATCTTCACTATTATTCTAGAATGTGGAAAATAGTAAAAATAAAGAAAAATCCTTGAATGAGTAGGTGTGTCCAAACTTTTGACTGGAACTGTATATGAACGGGTAGGCCTGAAAAAAATAAATAAAAATGAACAAAAATAGTACGTCCAACCGGCCTCAAAACCGCAGTCTATGTGTAACCTCCACATCCGGCTTCTTTACCTGCGGGATCGTCTGAAACCAGCCACCCAGACAGCTGATGAAACTGTGGGTTTGCACAACCGAATAAGTTCGGCACAAACTGTCAGAAACAGTCTCAGGGAAGCTCATCTGCGTGCTCTTCGTCCTCACCCGGGTCTTGACCAGACTGTAGGTTGGCGTCGTACCCGACTTCAGTGGGCAAATGCTCACCTTCGATGGCCACTGGCACGCTGGAGAAGTGTGCTCTTCACAGATTTATGGGTTTTCCGTGCATCAGCAGGACAGAACAGCTACGTCCGGTAAGACGAGGAGTGGTTGTGTGTGTCTATTTGTCAATAACAGCTTGTGCGCTATGTCTGGGAAGTCTCGAGGTATTGCTCGCCTGAGGTAGAGTACCTCATGATAAGCTGTAGACCACACTATCTACCAAGAGAGTTTCCATCTATATTTTTACCACCACAAACCGATGCTGGCACTAAGACCACACTCAACGAGCTGTAGTGGCCGGGGACTTTAATGCAGGCAAATTTAAATCCGTTTGACCTAATTTCTACCAGCATGTCACATGTGCAACCAGAGGAAAAAAAACTCTAGACCACCTTTACTCCACACACAGAGACAAATAGAAAGCTCTCCCTCGCCCTCCATTTGGCAAATCTGACCATAATTATATCCTCCTGATTCCTGCTTACAAGCAAAAACTAAAGCAGGAAGTTCCAGTGACTGGCTCAATATGGAAGTGGTCAGATGACGCGGATGCTACGCTACAGGACTGTTTTGCTAGCACAGACTGGAATATGTTGCAGGATTCATCCAATGGTATTGAGGAGAATACCACGTCAGTCACTGGCTTCATCAGTAAGTGCATCGACGACGTCGTCCCCACAGTGACCGTACGTACATATCCCAACTAGAAGCCATGGATTACAGGCAACATTCGCACCGAGCTAAAGGCTAGAGCTGCCGCATTCAAGGAATGGGACTCTAATCCGGACGCTTATAAGAAATCCCACTATGCCCTCAGACGAACCATCAAACAGGCAAAGTGTCAATACGGGACTAAGATTGAATCCTACTACACCGGCTCTGACGCTCGTCGGATGTGGCAGGGCTTGCAAACTATTACAGACTACAAAGGGAAACCCAGCCGGGAGCTGCCCAGGGTCGCGAGCCTACCAGATGGGCTTAATGCCTTTTATGCTAGCTTCCAGGCAAGCAACACTGAATCATGCATGAGAGCACCAGCTTTTCCGGACAACTATGTGATCACGCTCTCCGTAGCCGATGTGAGCATGCTTCTTTAAAAACAGGTCAACCTTCACAAGGCCGCGGGCCAGACGGATTATCAGGACATGTACTCAGAGCAACTGGCAAGTGCTTCACTGACATTTTCAACCTCTCCCTGACCGAGTCTGTAATACCTACATGTTTCAAACAGACCACCATAGTCCGTATGCCCAAAAAAGCAAATGACTACCGCCCCGTAGCACTCACGTCAGTAGCCATGAAGTGCTTTGAAAGGCTGGTCATGGCTCACATCAACACCATCATCCCGGAAACCCTAGACCCACTCCAACTTGCATACCGCCCCAACAGATCCACAGATGACGCAATCTCAATAGCAATCCACACTGCTTTTTCCCACCCGGACAAAAGGAACACCTATGTGAGAATGCTGTTCATTGTCATACAGCTCAGCGTTCAACACCATAGTGCCCACAAAGCTCATCACTAAGCTAAGGACCCTAGGACTAAACACCTCTGCAACTGGATCCTGGACTTCCTGATGGGCTGCCCCCAGGTGGTAAGGGTAGGCAACAACACATATGCCACGCTGATCCTCAACACGGAGGACCTTCAGTGGTGCATGCTTAGTCCCCTCCTGTACTCCCTGTTTACCCACGACTGCGTGGCCAAGCACGATTTCAACACCATCATTATGTTTTCTGATGACACAACAGTGGTAGGCCTGATCACAGACAACGATGAGACAGCCTATAGGGAGGTCAGAGACCTGGCAGCGTGGTGCCAGGAGAACAACCTCTCCCTCAACGTGAGAAAGACAAAAGGAGCTGATCGTGGACTACA